GATTCTTCTGCAATCTCTGCACTAGTAACTGCCTTAATAGCTGAAAATCAAACTTATTGCAAAACCCGCTTCATCAAAATTGTGGATTGTCTTTCTCCAGAATGCCATAATCTATACTTGCCGCAGTGCTTTGGACCACTACTTGATAATTTTTAGATCCTTATACTAAGCTCTCTCAGTTGTCTTTGCAGCAAGATCAGCATTTTGACTGCGGCGTTGGTTTATACAGTTGGTACACCAATCCTTGACTACAAAGTTGGAGCTAGTGGTCCTCTCAGTATATCAGATTATCTGGCCATTTCTTGTACTTGTTCTGCTTTTAGAGAGGCACCTCACGTATCTAGTGATACTGTCCAGGCTGCTAATGTCTCTCTCTGAGTTTCAGTAATCCTGTGGCTGTTGGCACGTTGTTCAACACAATATTATCTTCCCCACTCTCAATACCTCAGTGTAGATGAGGTACGCCAAAAAGGCCCCTGCTGATTAACATTCGCTGAAAATTTCCTTATCCTTCAAAAAACTTACAGCAATTTCCCCTCTCGCTCACTAAAGACTTGGGTTGGTTGATCCCGAACTGGTGGCATAGGGTCGCAAGGGAGAAGAAAACCCAATTTCGGCGCTGGAGTCGGAATCCATTGGAGTCAGCACCAGGGCCATGACCACAGCGGCGGCTCAAGCCGTGAATAGCAGCCCATGACCAGCGATGGCAGTAGTAGTAGCAAGTTCAGAAAGACGGCCACAAGGCGAAAAATGGGGACACTTTACAGAGTTCCATTGGGTGGGAAGTCCGTTTACCACTGTTTCATCCGATTAGTGCAGATTAGCGTTACGTCCAGGGTATCCGGAGGCTTCCTGATTTCATCCCTGTCTCAGCCACTATCACAATCATCACCATGCATCCTGGTCATAGAAAGAAATGGTTAATACGCAACGTGCCATATGACTGTGTTATATACCTCTTGCTGTTCTTGTCTATACTAAGATGGCCTATGCAGGTTCGGTGTCGTGTTCATGATTGATGGTTGCAATAAAATTGTACATACCGAGGGGTGAATCAAGTTGATTACTTCGTGGAACTAGTGTCAAACAAGGTTTCTGGGGAACGCTGTGCTGTCTTGTGGCACTAACGTTTATGGCGATAATCCCGATGTCCACTATCCCTACCCGAGATCCTCCACATGAACCGAACAAGAAGGCTAATCCCTTGTGGCGGTGGTCGGACCATCTGCCTGGGATGCCATATTCTGTCCTTTTTCAAGGGTACTGCACTACTGGCAGAGTCCTCTCAGTAGCACTTTAGTGCTATAGAAATACTCCATTAAGGAGGGGACGCGGATTAAAATCTGAAGTAAACTCATTTCATTTCGCAAACGAGAGAATATCATAGACATACACATTCCATAGCTAAAACTATTACACAAATTTCTGCGTTTTGGCCCGAATCCAAGGACCGGCATAGTACAAGGGAAGCGCTAGCGCAATCGCCGCCCACTGGATAGCTGCAAATTCATAGAACATCTTGTCGACGCCCTCGTGCGCCATCCACGAGTACGATCCCTTGCTCAACCCAAAGGCAACCACGTTCTTGGATGCATTGACCAGAACCAGCGCCTCGCCGCTCGTGTGCGGGTACGAGTCCACCACATACGAGAGCATGACCGAGGGGACGAGAGTGAGAGACGCGGCGGACAGAGCTGCACCTACGGCAGGACCGATATAGTGCTGCTGATGGGCGATGGTGTAGCCAAATATGCTTAGGCCCAAGGGGCAGAAGAGGAAGGGGAAGAGGAGGGCTGGTAAACGGTGCTCCGGTTTGTGGACGTTATTGTTGCGGCGGCGCAGCCATTGCGAGAGGTAATCGGTGAGAGGGCCAGCGATGGGGAAGGCAACGACGGTGCCGATAAAGCTGCTCAGGGAGAAGAGACCGAGATCGGCGGAGGTGAAGAGGTAGGGAGGCGGCGAGAGAAGGGATGGGCAGAGAGTTGAGATAGAGACAACCCTAATATTGTCAGTACGCAGTGCTTCCGAATTCCTGGTATGCAACTGGATGGCTTACCCTCCGAGAGCGACACCATACATGATTGAGGCGAGCAAAGCTCCAGGTATCAGGATCATCGGCAGCGGCAGGGCAAAGGAATAGCCCAAGAATTTCAGAACTCCCTTTTTACGGGCCTCCTGAGAGATACCAACCCTGAACAGTTCCTTCCAGTAGGCCGCATAACTGAATGCATCACTGCTCGACCGCGAGGATACCGCTTCAATGTGTCGCTGAGAGACCTTCTCCGAATCCCCCTGAGCATCCGGCTCGGTCACAGACTCGACCTCATACAGGGTTTCGGGCAACAGGAAAAAGGTCGTCACGAAGTTAACGGCAGCAAGGATCAAGAGCAGGTAGAAGAACCAGCGCCACCCTTTCGATGCGACCAGGTAGCCGGCAATCACGGGTCCAATCTGCGATCCGCCTGAGAGAAAGAAAGCGTAGGTAGCCATCGCACTGGCATAGTTGCGTTCGTAGAATAGGTCTTTTAGGGCACGTTAGATGATGCTTGATCTAGAATCATACATATCCAGAAACGTACCTGCGAGAATACTGGGTCCCAAGGACTCGATCGAACCATATCCTAATACAATCAGCGGATGCGTGATCGTCAAGTCCCCAAAACACATACCGAAACTAGCAAAAACCCGTGCTCCCATGAGGCTGTTGTAGTCTTTGGCGACACATGTCCAGATAACGCCAGTCACAAACATCGCCATAGAGATGAGAGCAATAGGGCGCTTGCCAAAGCACAGCGCCAGAGGCATCCAGAAGATGTTCGCTAAGCCCATGGCTAATACCGAGTAACTAATCAGGTCGGACAGTTTTGCAAAGGGAAGGTGAAGATCCTCTGCTAAGCTCTCGAAACCAGTGGCTATCCCGGACTTTACGAATATCGTCAGTTCTTGAATATCGAGGAAGACTGGAGTTGTTTGTACGTACGGAGTACATATTGCCCATAAAGACAAACACGTTGACAGTGAGCAGGGCGGCGTGTCTCACGCGCCGAGGGAAGACCTGTTGGATTCAGTCATGATCGTCCTAACAGGATACGCAAATACCAGTCAGAGCGATCGCATACCCTGGGGTCGATCTTTGATTCCGCCATGGTGTTGTTCACTGGGCACCCGGAGTCCAGCAATCTGACAAGGATGTATATTGCGATGTGAGTAAGAAGATGTAGTCCCGCGGCAACCGGACACCGTCGACTGAGGATGCAGCCCAAGGGAGAGCACGAATCTAGATATATGCCATTCTTTTCGGCAGCAGCCTGCTTCTCAGCTATGCCGCTTCTTGACCACCTCAAGCCCCAAAAAAGCCCCCAACATGTCTTCAGCAATATGTTCCCCGTGGGGTATTGGTCATCCGTGAACTAGACAGTGGAGCTAGATGCACCACCTTGCAGCTCTCGGCAAGCCAGTCATATTCGTTGCTTGCTGGAGGACCCGAGTGAGAGAACCGGATATGCCGTGGAGGCAAAAGTGTGTCGGGACCATTTCGGGTCCACATCGGACTCGTTGATTTGTTCCCTCGATGAGTTGTTCTCACTACTTAGTTAAAGCATGACAGGTCCATGTGCAAGAAACTGATGTAGATCTGGGATAGGAGACTTGACGCAGTCGTTGCTAAGCGATTGACTTGACCCTTTTTTCGAACAAGATGAAAGTCCCTGCATGGTTGACGTGTTTAGCAAATTAGCGTGCAAGCTGGTGTCATCGAGGCGTCAACCTGCAAGAAAATGGAACTGAAATGGGACTGAACTCAAGGTAGATCTACCAGTAGGCGCTACTGGTGCTAGTGTTGCTTTAGGCTCATTGAATGGTAATAACATGCCTAGCAGTGTGAGATGTTTGGTGTCTCTTCTATTGTCCTCTCATCTCCGACACGTTTCACTCCGAGTGTTCAAGGTTTTCCCTTCACCACTTCCACGACAATCTTGTCTGTCTTGCAATTTTCTAATTACTGTGGCATCGATACATTTGAATTCTTGAACCATGGATACTGATCCAGAATTTCCTGCGGCCTCTTACCCTGCGGTTGTGCCGAGGACGGGGAACTCTGGCCCATAGGACTAGTCTCGGTATTTCCGAGAGCCCGTACCCCTGCACAATCATCTACTACCTTGCGGAGGAACGGCCGGTGATTTAACGATCAGCCGACGGGCTGATGGAGGCGCTTAGTGGGCCGCTTGATGGAACTGTTTAAAGAATTACGAGAGTTGCTTCTTTCCTAGGTTCACGTATTCAGATCTTGTGTGGATCCCATCATCTAATATATACCATCTAATTGTCACCAGTAGTGATGCCTACCATCTTCTGCTCCCTTACCGTATATAAAGTGCTAACTTATCTCTCAAAATCTCTCAAAGACAGCGCAATTCTGGGCTAATTACTCAGTCATATGAAGAAGAAATCCTATCTACCCTAGATCCTCCGCCTATATAAGAGCTTGCAAAAATCCGGCAATAAAGCCATTATTGAGATTTTCAAGCAGATCAGTCTGCAATCACATCCCTACTGCTATAACTGGATTGATATTCCTTCAGAGGCATGATTTCCATATGCTAAATAGCAAAGAGCAGGAAAAGAGGGATGAGGTCCTTCTTAACTTGGAAGGAGATTAAAGGCGCATTTCCCAGTAGATGGTGAGTATCTGGATTTCTGAAGGACTTTCTAGCAGGACAACCAGTTGCTTATATAACACCAGGACATGCTCAGAGGTGCATTAGCTTTATGGCTACAATGCAATCGAAGAGGTCGAACATGCGGTTACGCGGCACCCGGAATTATTTCCCAAGAGGTCTGCAAATCTTTAGTCCTTTTCCTTTCTGGCAGAGCTAAATAGATATCAGAGTCTCGCAAGATACTATTACTTTCATGATAGTCGCTTGGAGTGCATGTGTGTATATGAATATCAGCTAATCATATACAAAGCCGTTCTCACCCAGCAAAAGCGAACGCTATCAAGCATCCAACATCGGAAGCCCGCCCAAATCATCTAACAACCTCGCAATCCCTTCAAACGAGTACTCGGGAAATCCGAAACCGTAGGCCCACTCCTATTTGGCGATTAGTATCCGGCAAGCGCCAAGCCTATCAGAATCCTCCCAGAATCCCAACATACCGGGATATCAAAGCCAGGCTGCTCCTCCTGTTCATGCATTGCACGAGCCTGGATACTGGCATCATCGCCATTATAACTGGAAGGGGCGGGCTGGGGTTCCGAGCCGCGGAAGTCCTTCAGGTAGTGCTTGATGATCTCGACGGACTTCTGCGCGACGACGGACTCGTCCATCGCTTCTAGAATCTCGACCGCCAGTTCGACAGACTGTAGAAGTGGGATTGTCTCGGCACACATTCCCAGCTTGGACATGGGAAGGAGAAGGGTCGATGTTGCGAACATGACGTAGGTTGTGTTGTACCACCTGTTTTAAATTGCTCGTTAGATCTTGATTCTTTGCCCGGGTTGGTTCGGGTGGCGGGGGAAGTGGAGTACCAGCAGCGGAAGAATGTGTGGATGCGGAAGATGTTGTATATGATCTCGATTGTCTTCACCGCTGCGTCCAAGCACTTTGCGATGGGTTCTTCTAGCTCCGTGGGTGTGTGTGGCTGTTTGCGAGTGAAGTAGCTCAGAAACGGGCGAAACAACAACATCTTCACGTTATAGTATCCTTTGCAAAATCAGCTTTTCCAGCGGTCAAATATAGATCTTGGCACTTACGAATCCCCAGAACCAGCCGCTGTCTGCGCGCCCATTTGGGGTCTCGCAATGCGCCGGTCGATGGCAGGTGTCCCAGGACATCTGGCTTTATCCGGTCAGGGAGCCGAGCCATCCATTTGTCGAGGTCAGCCTCGATATGTAAGGCGGCCTGCAGTTTTTCCTGCAAGGCGATGCGCGAGTTGTATATTTGCACGGATACACGCCGGATGATCTGAGCGAAGTCCACCATCCAAGGTATAATGGCATATTCGGAGTCATCGCGGTCCGGGAGGGCGCGGTTGTGATATTCGTCCATACCTAGGGTGTCTGGACGTCCGACGGAGAAACTGATTTCACTGCCATATCATCAACATGTGGTCCGGCGTGAGTCCCGTAATAATCTTACATTTCGAGAGAGAATATGCCCCTACCAAGAAAGGGGATGAGTACAACGATCGTGAAGTGTGCTTGCTTGAACTCACCACCAAGTCCTCGAGATCCAGCCCAAACGTTGTTGGTCCTTCGAATTGCGTATTTCTCGATTGAAACCAACAGCCAAGCAAGTACGTACAGCAAGGCCCAAGTATATATAAGCCACTGGTGTTTTAATCAGTAGTTGTTCACCTAGCAGGCTGGCACTCACGATTAGGATTTAGCTCGTTTTGGCATATTTTTGCCTGGATGAAGTTAGCCCGATGTCTATCATGCTTCAACAAGCTGCATTTACCATCAGGTATAAACACTGAACTGTGTCCAGATTATTAGAAAAGTGCAGGTGATTCAGATACATCCGCACTTCACTGAACAACTTTCGACTCCATTCAAACCGCGTCAATCCCCCTAGCTTCCGCTCGTCCCAAACACGGACCAAAGCTCCAAATGAGAGTACACTGAGGTACAAAGCCACAAAACTCGGCTCCGGCTGCCGAGTCCTATTGAACCACAGAGCATGCGCCCGGGCATTGAAATCCTCTTTGTCGATCAATGGATGAATGAAATGAATATTCTCAAAGTACCCATTGATAAACGCGTGGGCGTGTTCAAAGTAATAATTATGATCCTGCATTGGCGACGGCTGCGCAGAACCAGCTGTGCACGAAGGTGAGAAACTGGAATTATGCAGCGTCGAGACCAGCGAAAACCCCGCCTCTGAGGTGCGAGAATTCCATCGTTTTTCGGCGCGGTCTTTCTCCCTATTCCTTTGAAGATGCCCTATTAGTGCTGCTGATGAGGAACTGCCGTGGAATTCGATCCCGTTGGTGTGGTGATTCAGCTCACTGATTTCGTGTTCGATAGTGTCGCATGCTTCCTCCTGGGGTTCATAGGGCAACAGTGAAGCCTCCCTTGGAGTAGCTCCATTTGGCGGCATAGACGATGATGTTGCATCGACGCTTGCCACGGGAGCTGGTCCGTGTTTCGAGCGCGTCACAACTTTTTGCGGTTGATGAGCGTCGTTGGAGGCGAGCTCCGACTCGGCCACACGTAGCTTTGCGGTTAGCTCTTCGACTTTCCTCTCTAGCTCCATTACATAGCTGGCATAGAGTCAACAGAGCCATTATCTGTCTAGAACGAGAGAACTAATGAGATACCTGGCTGACCGGCCGCTTTCGCGCCGCCGGTAATTACTCTGATAGACGCAATTGAGCTCACTTTCTGCGCGTAATTAATCCTCTTATCATATTGAAGTTAGTATATGTGGACGATCTTACTCTTGCAGTGAGCGCAGGGATACAATTCATCGCATTTATACTTCTTCAGGCGACACCTGTCACATGCCTGTGCGGCACGTTGTCGCTTCGGACGCGCAGGGGATCGTTGAGGCTGATGCTGCATTATCCACACATATTTGTATCGTTCCTTAAGGCGATCATATTTCGAATACGCTGTTAAGCATGGCTCTAGATAGAGGGACGTTTGACGAGAGGCCGCGATGTCTCTGTGCAGCGAGAAAGTGCGCCGGATATCCCGACAAAGCCGGATGAATTGCCGGTGGTCGCATGATCTCCCGTGGGGACTCCCCCCTTCTATGCTTTGAACCAATGAAGGCCCGAGGTCATTTCCGGATAGGTCCCGTTGACGGAGTGATAATTGCCGTCCTTCGTATGCCATCTGTATATTCTTGCCTATGTACATAATCAGAAAATGTTTAATCCTATGATCACAGTTCAATCTCCACATTGACATCTGTAGCCACAGCCTGCACTTGACAGTAGTCCCATTCGGGCTCCTTGTCGGGCAGAATGAATCCCTCGAATGGCTTTCCGAGCCGGTGCACCAGCGACTCAATCCCATCACCATCAGTGAATGAGTACACCCGCACATACTTGCTGTCAAATCGCAGAGCAAACGCCTGACCAGCGGGAACCACCACCGTCTCTCCCTCACGGAATACCATGTCGGTAGAACCCTTAAGACATACGGTCAAAGAACCCTCCAGGACACAGAAACAGTGATCTACAGACTTGAAGGTCATATACCTAGAGAACAGACCTTCACTGTACATGTTGGACGACTCAATGCTCGAGATCGCACAGACGCCATTGCTTTGTTTTGTGGTGATGAAGGGTCTAGACATCACACCACCCAGCATCCATCTTGGGGCTGTGTTAGAGCGCAGATAGTATGGCTGGTGACCATCTGGAATTTTTTCATCATCCTTAGTAAATTCACCCACCTCGGGTGGTTCGTAGTTGGGATGGAAGACGACGTCAAACTTCTCTTTTGCGGCCATTACTTTGGGAATGAGCATGGATTTTAGGTCGCGGTTGTCGTCCTCGGGCACGAGGATCCCCTCATATGGTTCCGAGACATAGCGGAAGAAATCTACCCAGTCGCCGGGGGTGATCAGACCATAGATCTCGGTATGGGGTCCAAGCATCTCGGGATTGTGAATTACTTTCTGTAAAGCGCTTTGTCAGTTACGCCCTAGCGAAACGGAAATCAAAATATCTACTCACAGGAGGCACATACGCGAAATCGCCCGGTCCCATAATCCGACACTTATCCCCGTTCCACAGTTTCAGATATCCTTTCGTTACCAAAAAGACGTCGTGAGCGTGGTTATGATGGTGGAACCCTGGGGCATCAGATAGCACAGCGCCGCTCTGGAAAACTGCCATCAATCCATTTGTCTGCTTGGACGACGCAAGAATGCGAAATGTTCCTTTGCTACCGGGGATAGTAATGCGCTCGCCTTCCAATTGAGGGATGGCGTAGGGGACCCTCGACTCCGGCGGTCGATTTGTGAAGGTGAAAGACATGGTAGGAGATGAGTCGAAGACGATTTGTGTTCGCGGGGGCAGAAGACGCAGATGAATCGGTGCAATAACACAAGCAGAACGGATGAAGAAGAGCTTTTATCCTCAAGCTCAAAGCACACGAAACGCATATGGTATGAAACACTTTACGGGACCCGATGTGGGGATGGACAAGCTTCGAGGGGAACATTGGAACATTTCGGTGACTGTTCTGCCGACCCGGATAACCCGTCGCTGGACAGGCCGGAATATCCGAAACGGGGAGTTCTGGATGCGAGACATGGATGCTGGGATTGTTGAAGCAATAAACGCGAGCGTAGGTCAGGGCGATCTCACAGTGACCTTCTAGAGAGTCATCATCCATTTGTTCTTCTATCGTACGAGAAAGTGCAGAAATTTTGATAGGTGGAACAGTTTTTAGAGGATATTTCTCCGAGTTCCATCGTTTTGCCCCTCTTTGAGCTAGTCCATCATGGCTGCTTGCCTCTCCCAGCGGGTTCAGCATGACGCCATATGTATTCTGATTTGCATCCATGATCCTGACAGGCTGAAGATGGGTATAGTCGTTCACAAATCTGACGCTGTCCCCCAAGGCGTCAGTGGTCTACTCCGCCATCCGGTTGTACTTGTCCAGTGTCAGCGTCGAGCGGTGGCCGAACTCGGCAACGGTGACGACCAGCTGATAGAACGTCAGCCGGGCCCTGGTAAGCTCCTGCTTTTCCATGTCGCTGTTCGTAAAAAACACGCGTGAAGATGGCTGCCACCAGTTCTTGTCACCCTCCAGCTGCACGAACCCGCCCTCACGCAACATTTTGCCCACAGTCAGGTCAGGCGCAGTATACAGGGTCAGGCCACACTGCTGTTGGCCAGCAGTAACCTTGGCCACAAGCTCAGGTGTAAATGCCAGGTGAATGACTGGCTTAGAACCGAAAACGCCTCAATCTTTCCAGGAGTGGGTATGTCGTTCAGCTGCGAGTCCCTGAAGAAGGCTCGCTCTTCAGACAGAAGGGTTTTGGAACACTTGTCGACATCCAAGCTGCGTAATTCATCCACAGACATGATGGAGCCTACAAATGGGAAGCCAAAGGTATCGTAAACCTGGTTTTGCCATGCAACAGGGCGTCGAAAGACGCGTGAGTCATGTGTCGTTTCCTCCACGACAGCATTGGTGTAACTATACTCGGCCATAAAAACATGTCCTGCGCGCTGGCTGGCTTTGACGTCTTCATATTCAATGCCACTCATGTACTTTAATGCACGAGGGTACACAATGGCCGGAGACCGGGCTATATCTCCCCAGGAGGTCATGGCCAATACAACCTGTTGCGTCACACCACCATCTTCGAGAGCACGCCCATAGTCGGCGCTGAGCGACGACTGTGGTATGAGTTGGAAAACTGCATGTAGGGTCTTGCCCGGGACATGATGCTGTAGCTGCTCGACATCATACGAGAATTCCTGTACGGTATATGGTAGATGTTCTGTTGCCGAGCCACCCAGTCCATATGTTTCACCGCGCAATTGGCTTCCGCGCAACGCAACTGGAGCTTCCAGCGTAAGTGTTGGCGTCTTGCTCGGATTTTTGATAGCAGACACCACGCACGACGGGGTGCAGAAGGCCATTTCATCTGGGCGCAAAGACAACCCGACATGAAACCAAGAGCGCGTATAAGATGCAGGAGCATGATACACCCCCTCATCGCCCTGCGGAACGCTGCCACGGACCCAAGTCACGTCTATCTCGAACCCAGCAACCGTCTTTTCCACACTATCGTAACAATCATTGTGGTACTCATACTCTGTTGTGCTTCCATTGCCAGTGATACAGTCTTGGGTGTTCAGCTGCGACACACACTACACGGGAAACGGCAACCTCATCGTCCAAGGTTTACCGGATACGCGATCCTTGAGGTAGAAGCGGGTGGACGGAGCATAAACCATGCTTGTGACTGCACCCATGCCGTTTTCGTAGGACTGCAGAGATGAGGCTTTGACCCGCCCATCAGATCAATGTACTTTATTTCTGTCGTCACCGGGCCATTGCCCACGCTGTCGTGCCAGCAGAGACACGCTGTCCCCTGGCCAAGCAGATCTAGCAGGAAGACTGAAGAGGGTTCCACGATGCGCGGCAACCTGGAGACCTGGAGGGGAGCAGTCCATGAGTTGCCGGCCTGGTTGAAGTAGATGTGCACGCCGCCGGTAGGTAGAATGTACACCAGATCCGTGGGTCCACTGCCGTCCACATCGATGAAACGTACTCGCTCAGAATCAAACGATTCAATCACCGGCGGATTTCCCATTTCAACGGGGCCGCCAAACGCTCCATATCCGTGATTTGGAAAGTAGGTGATTTTTCCCGTGGCAGCAATATGGACCAGATCAGCGAGGCCATCGCCCGTCATGTCTGCAACATAGGTCTGCTGGTTCTCTGGGCTAGTGTTGAGGCCAGATTTGCGACGGTGGCTGGACATGCCCCTGTTTTCCGAGGGATTGCTGCCAGATCAGCTCATGCTCGACATCGCCCGGTTGCAGGAGTAGATCAGGTGTGGCTTGGCCAGTCAGGTCAACGCTGATCCCCTACTGGTGTGGTTCCGACACGGGCGTCTGGGGGAATTCGGAGTACTCGCTCCATATGTCCGGGCCACTCTCTCGCTCGTAGGAGCCTTGGAGCTGTCCATTTCCATCGACACATACAATATCGAGTCAACCATTCCGGTCCAGATCGCTGAATCGCCCGAGGCGGCCGGTACCCAGCGAGGGCTGCTGACCAAGAATTTCTGGAGCCAAAAACGTCCGATCCCCGTTGTTGCGTTGGTAGGAGAGCGTGCCGTCGCTCGATCGTGTCGGGAGACCTGGGACACCCTCGCCATCCAGGTCTAACCACTCAGCCAGTAAGCCCGGTCGTGGCATATCTGCCAAATTGGCGATGTTCGCTCTGAGGGCTTTGGTCTGGCGCAGGTCTGACGGCATGATATGTGAATTTGGACGGAGGCAAGGATTCAGAGGTTTAGGAAATCGTAATTCCTCGTTCCTTGTCTGCTTCAGCGACTGCGTATCCACTCGCCGTGGCCGATGACAAGAATGTGCCCTACCCGGACTCTTTGTACATCAGGCTTGTGGAGGAGACCAACACTTCATCCGGATAGTCTTGTTCTTCGGGAAGGTGGTGAAACATGAGCAAGGGCCGACACAGGCGATACGTGCGCACCTCGAACCCTGCGTTCGCCGTCGAAAAGGAGTCCTGTCGAAGGGACCACGGAGTGTCCTCACTCGTTCGCGGCACCGAAGCATGATGCTCGCCGTAGTCCAGCACGACCTCAAACATCCAGTTAGACCGGGCCCATCTTCGGCCGGGAGTGGTTTCCAGGTGTCCAGATCTCGCGCTGGTGTGAGATTTCCGTAGCGAATGCGTTTGAGATACTTTTGCCGGCATCGCTGATCTCGGTAACAGCGGCAATGCCTCACCAGTGGCTGTTATTCTCCTTCAATCCCTAAAGAGTCTCTGGACATACTGCAGCGATGCAGCAGGCGCTGCTGACACTGGACTTGAAGGGATCGGTGCCGTGACTCCCGCCGTCTGCGGATGGTTTCTCGAACAACTGACACCGAGCAAGCCGAACTATCTGATGGAGCAGCTCATTGAGGTGCTCTTTCCGCGGGCTGGGCTGGACAGGCTGATCGATCCCAAAAGCACCCCAGAGTCTACCAGCGCGTCCAAAGCTCAGTCGCCCAAGGATCTCAGCGCGGCCGTTTTAAGCCGGCTGCGTCTTGGTGTATTCAAAGCCGAACCCCTGCGCTCTATCAACCGACTCATAGCCCAGGGCAAGTTTGTCAAGTCGCTCCAGTCCGATGCAACTGCAGTGCGAGACATTCTGTCCACCATGACGGAGGAGGCCCTCGAGATCGGCAGTCCGGATCTACTGGCCCGCGTCGCCATTCGCATCGACACTACGCAACAGGAGCTGTCAGACGCTCTAGTGGCAGTCCAATCACTCCAGGCATTAGTCCGTATCGCCGAGGATCCAGAGGATGTCCCTATCATCTACGGCAAACGCTACCGCACGATCCGCGTGATCACGCAGGCGGACAAAGACTCTTGGATTGCGCAGATGGTCAAAGAGGGTATAAGCAAGGATAATGCCCTCAAGGCGTACGACTTTGCGGAGCGCATCGATTGCTAGAATGAGAATCTCTGGCTCACCCTGATGCAATCCCGTCATGCAATGTATAACGCGAGATCAAGCAAATGACCGACGACGATGACGATGACGACAGACCCGCTAGAGCGGGGAACAATCTCACGGATATTTTCCAACTCGAGGACATTACCAAGCCTGAGCACTTGGAGAGCTTCATCACTGCTGCCATGGAGTCGCCGTCCAAAATCACACTGACCCCCGAGATTGGGCTGCGAGATACCTCCAGCGTTGAGCTGCAGCTGACTAGCATCATGTCAGCTGGCGAACTCGAGAAGGTCCAATCCTTTGCGGTAAAGGGTCTTCCAAAGGATACGAACACGGCGACCACGGAAGCGCTCCTCAAGATGGCTCACCAAGCCGTCAAGTTGCAAGACAAGATCGCAACACGCTTCGGCAGTGACAAGTTCGCCGCCTCTCTGCTATCCAAGCCGTGGCCAGAGATCACGGCAAAGAGAGAAGAGGACGGAGCGCTGCTCGCGGAAATCTCGCTCCAAGTCCGTGTCCGACGACGGGCCTTTATCGAACTCGCTGGCTCAACCGTCATCCAGGATTTACTGGAAGCATTTATTCTGAACGTCATCAAAGAGCTGGTGCCGGATCTGGACTTTACGCTGGTGGCCGTCGTCATCAACGTATCGTGCCAGTCAGTAGCCTCAGCGGATAACACAACAACCGAGTCGGCCATGTCGGCCATGAAGGCCTTGAGCGAGGCGACCACTTACCCCGTTAACCTACCCCTGGATGCCTACTTCCTACCCAATTCGACCGACGTCTTTACCCTCCATTATCCGGGGGAAGAGCCAAAGGCAGCGGAGGGGGCCCCGCGCCTAACTGTCAACGGGATACCAATGGACTACAACTCTACGTCCAACTCGTTTATGAGTACTCGTATGCGAGGAGGCCAGACATACCTGTTGACGGCTAGCTTCCCTGCATCGCAGCTGCAGTGGTCAACACCCAAGCTCCTACCAGCTCCCATCAACGACAAGATGCTCCTGCCGTCGGCCATAACACGGCAGGCTTCGGAAATCAACGCCGCTATTCTGCGGGTTGCTACCGTTTGTCAAGTCTTTTCCTTGACTGCCGAAGAGTTAGGATCCTTTGCTGGTGCTCTGCAGGCGCAACAGGCTCAAGGGACGCGGCAGCAGAAGGAACAGTCATCGCTGCGCATGCTGGCTTTTGACCTGAATGCACCTTCACTCAAAGACCTCATCCAGTTCCACAAGTACTGCGACTTGAGGCGCAATAGCTCTCCGCCGACGATAGAGTCACAGGGGAGCCCCCTGATGACCACGCTCTCCTGGTTGGGCACCACTGCCAGCGCAAAAATGGACGACCTCGCCTCCAACCTTGCTGCCGGCACCTGCTGGAATAAAACCCGTGTGCTTGCAGCTCTGCAGGCCAGGTACACCGACGCCGCGAATCCTGACACAGGAACATCATTGGCTGCTCTGCGCAACATAGACGCCCTCTATAGTCTCTACACGGTTATGGAGCTTGACGACAAGTTGGGCAAGGCCACCGGCGCACTGGCGTCGCAGCCCAGTATGGCGACCCTCTTCCAGCTCGCTCAACCCCTCAAGGTGCTAGCGGCAGACGACTCGAGCACGGCACGGAGTCTCCAATTTAGACAGTCGACTGATGGAGAACCAGTGGCCTGCCCTGGTCGGATATCTCCTCCAGCAGCAGTACGTGAGCAAAGGCCTCCGGGTATAGGACGCGGACGGCCTGTTTGAACACTTCTTGATCGATGTCCAGATGGGCCCGCAACTGTGTACGTCGCGGACCAAGCAAGCCATTTCCGTTGTGCAACTCTTCGTGCAACGATGTCTCCTTGGACTGGAGCCTGATGTGCCCAAGGGCTGCCAGGTACGAGCCAAGCGGGATTGGATGCAACAGTACAGCCTCTGGGAGGTTAATCGGAAGCTCTTCCTATACCCCGAAAACTGGCTAGACCCTGCTCTCCGGGACGACAAGAGCGCGCTGTTTGAGAAGTTCGACGCCAGCCTGATGCAGAAGAATCTCAGCATTGCTACCTTCGTCGATGGTATCCGTGCGTATATCGCCGGTCTCAATGAGATTTCCAGCCTCGACGTAGTCGCCTACGCTCACGAGCCAACTAAAGGGCTGCCGATACCTTCCACTTGTTCGGCCGTACTCGCGCTGCAGCTCACACGTTCTACTACCGGACGGTGGCGGTGCAATGGCCGAGCGGTGCCCGTCTACGGCGCCCCTGGTCCAAGATCGACATCGACATTCCCTCCGTCGAGTCGGACTGGAATGGTACGTGCTTAGCCAGCTCAGGTGCATACTTGCTGCCCGTCCTGGCTGGTGGGAGCCGACTCTACCTCTTCCTACCACACATCATGCTCAGAACGTTGGACCGGAAACCAGACGAATCGGAGAAGAAGAAAAGGTTTGAGGCCTTGCACGAAACCAAGATCCAGGCTCTGGCTCCCCGACGGATCTGGGAGACTACCATGGCTTGGACAGAATTGGCCAACGGCCAGTGGTCGCCCAAGCGTATGTCCCCTGGCAGTGTGACCGTCGAGTCTCCTACAATGCCCGCGGCGACGGATTTCCGGGTTGATACAGTACACAACTCGACTACAGGCAGCCTGACCCTGCTTGTCAGTCATACCTCCGCAACTGATGGACGAGCGACGGTGGTCGGCTATTTTGTCTTCCGGGAAGACCAGATTAGTGCTGTTGACCTGGCTGTCAATCCATCGGCAGCTGTTGGAATACATGCGCATGACCGCATGGTGCGTAACTCGTTCCAGCAGATCAGCGTCAAGGTCGAGCCGAGCAGTCCAGAAACCCAGTACACCAAACTTTCTTTGCCATCCGCATCAACCGAATCGGATCCGGCCTGGCAGCGCCCGGTCGACATGATGGTTTGGGTTCCTGCTGCACTTGACACCCTCAATCGTAAAGCAACCGGGGGCACGATCGAGCTTCCTCAGGGCCAAGACCCTAGCGAGAAGCTCATATGGACACTGGCCATGGAATCCAAGGAAAGCCGACTCACGTGCCTGGCTCTCAGCGCGAACCGCTCCGACGGCACGAGCAGAAGCTACTTCCAAGTGCCCAAGTCCGAAATGCGCAGTATGTGGCGGACAGCCAACAATATGCACAATCTCATGGACAGCGTTGTCATGGACCACGTCTCTGCCACCGGTCTGATGCAGGCGGCTGTTGACCGGACGAATCCACTGCAGAGCGTCTTCAATCTGATCGCCTCCTCTGCGTCAGCGTATGGGTTGGAAACCTTTGGCGCGTACGGGAAAAAGCTGTGCCACGAGCTGGGCCGACCGAGTGCGCTGTACAACTGGGAGATTGGCCTCCATGCCGTGATGCTGGCCATGGATCGGTTCCACGCGACGCAGCAGTTCGATGAGGCCCTTCAGGTTGCCCGACTCGTCTTTGATCCAACCGTTGACGTCGAGGTCCAGAGGTTGATCAAGCAGGTTAACACCAAGGGAGAAGATGGTAAGCACGCAGTTGTATCTGAGGTGGTTGTCTCGCCTCTGGCTGCCAGTGCCTCTGCGCTCTTGTCCACCGATACGGCGAAGGTGACTCTGGAGGCTCGCAGTCAATCCGTTGGCTCTGCGTGGCGGTTCCCTCCTTTCCAGGACATTGCCCGCCGTATTGCAGCAGTCGGGAAAAAGGGCACCATGGGCGCAGGCTTTGATGCGAATCGTGAGCTCGAGGCGGCCATCCTGGAACGTCGATCCCACAGTGCATTGGTCCATGCTACAGCCCGTGGTCGACCCGAGGCGTATATGAAATGGATCCTCATGAAGTACGTTGAGATTCCCGTTGCCAGCGGCGACGTCCATTTCCGGAAGGGCACGCTTGAGAGTCTACACCTGGCGACGCAGCGGTACATGGAAGCGACGCACGTCCTCGGGCCAGAACCACCGCTGGTAACACGGTTTGGGGAACGCAACAGCGTTGGTCGCGATTCCACCTTTGAGGATCTCTCTCGAGGTCGAGAGCCGTGGAATTTCGAGCGGCTGTGCCAAGAGGACATGCGCTTCGCGATCCGTCTGCCCTTCTCCCCCGAGTTGGAGCTGCTCAAGGGTGCAGCCGCCAAGGGAGACAAGGACATGGGCAAGGAGAATATTGTTGGTTTCTTGCTTACCCCATACTTTGGCGTGCCCGTGAACTCCAAGTTCCGCCAGATTCGCAGTGTGATCAAGCAGCGGCTCTTCAATGTTCGCAATAGCCTGGATATCGACGGCCGTCCCATCACGTACGCGCTCACCGAGCCCTCCATCGACCCAAGGGCCCTCGTAGCGCTCAGTGCAGCGGGATTTGACAACGCCAGTGCGTCGGCCATGGTCATGGGCGATCAGGACTCTCCCCTCCCACATCAGCGCTTCGATGTCCTGATTCATCGAGCGCTGGAGCTCTGCGGAGAGGTCCGGGCTCTCGGCGAACGACTGGTCAATGCGATCGAAAAGGAGACCGAGGCCTTTGGAGTGCTTCGCGCAAAACATGCCACGGCTATCCAGCGCACGATGTATAGCATCAAGGAGACACACATGACCGAGGCTCAGCAGACCATTGACTCACTACGCCTCAACCGCGATTCAGTCGTGTCCCAGCTGGCCTACTACCTCGCCTTCCTTGGCGAGTCCGAGTCGCTGATTCCGAACGAGAAAAGCGCATGGAGCGACCTGAAGCAGGATATCGACAAACCCACCCAGGACGACCTGCGCATGTCGCAGCATGAACAGCACGAAATGAACATGGCCACGGCTGCAATGGCGCTCAACGTGGTCTTGGCGGGAATCGACACGCTCGTCGCCCCGTTTTGCATGGTCCCATCCGTCTCCATCAACTCGATGCCCATGGGTATCGGTACCATCATCGCAGCCGGCGGTGGCAGCACCATCTCGAACTTCATGCAAGCAGGGCCCACGGCCCTCAAGATGGCGGCCATGGTAGTGGCGGAACAAGGTAGCCAGGCAGCGCGCAAGGTCCAGCTGACACGCCAAATGCAGGACCGTCGGCTACAGGCCAACATGCGTGGTCGCAAGATCAAGAGCATCAACACGCAGATTGAAATTCAACGCACGCGGCTCAGGACGGCGCAGCAGGAGCTGCAACTGCAGGAGTCTGAGGTACAGGAGTCGGTGCAGGTCGAGACGTGGTTGCGCAGCAAGTACACGAACGAGGCGCTGTATAGCTGGGTCGAGAAGAGCTTGCGCAGTCTCTACTTCCAAGCCTATACGCTGGCGATGAGCACTGCACGCAGCGCGGAGAGTGCCCTGGCATTTGAGGACGGCCGGAAGCTGTCGATCCTGCGCCCTGGCGGCTACTGGGACGCCTCACGGGACGGCCTGCTGGCGGCCGACCATCTCTACCTGGACCCGAAGCGACTCGAAGCGGCGCATCGCGAGGGGCGTCGACATGATTACGAGATCAGCAAGACCATCTCGCCGCGCCAGGTCGATCCCATGGCGCTCATGCGTCTGCGCATCTCTGGCAGCACGACCTTTTCGCTGAGCGAGATGCTCTTCGACCTCGACTTCCCCGGCCACTACATGCGCCGAATCCACTCCGTCGCCGTGTCCATCCCTGCCGTGCTCAGCCCGCACAGCGGTGTCAACGCCACGTTGACCCTGCAGCAGCACAAGTACCGCGTGCTCCAGACGGCCGCCACGCCAGAGGAATACGCCGCGTCCTGGTCCACCATGTCGGCCAGCAACGACGAGGCCTTCCGCACCGATCGGGTGCCCATTTCCGCCGTGGCGATCAGCTCGGGCACACATGACGCGGTTGTCTTTGAGCTGAACTTTGCCGGAGACCGCTACCTGCCGTTTGAAGGGGCGGGGGTTGTCTCGTCATGGAGACTCGACCTGCCTACTGAGGTGCCTCGCTTCGACTACAACAGCATTGCGGACGTCCAATTGCACGTGCAGTATACTTCACTTGACGGCGGTGCCAGTCTCCGAGCGGCCGCCAACGGTGCGGTACGAAAGGCACTCAAGGCCATTGATAATAGCGGCACCGGCCGTGACAATGGGTTCTGGGCCATGTGGAACTTGAAGAATGACTTTGTCAACGAGTGGTATGAATTCAGTGGTCAACTGACGGCCGCGAGAGAGGACAAATCCGCGGCGGCGGGACAGCGGGAAATCGCCATGACATTGGGCGATTTGGCTGAACGGCTCCCCTTTTGGGCGCGTGACCTTGGCCAGCTTGAAGTGCGTGGCATCACTCTGGTGTCCAAGAATGTAGGACTAGTCGATGCCATGAGCGTCTCGGTGGTGCCGGGTCTGTGGGATTCCAAGTCTATTCTGGACTGGCGGGTGTGGTCGCGTCAGAAGCTGGAGGAGACGGATTGGAAGGGATGGGAGTTCAAGGCGAAGGCCGGCAGCCTCAAGGCGGATGATACAGTGGGCGATGTCTACATGTTGGTCCGCTATGGCAAGAAGTCATAGAATCTTCCACGGACACGGTTCATGAGTTTACCCCGTTGCCCGTGCCAAGAATGTCGACCACGGAGGACGGGATCCTTGAAACAGCCCGTGCCGTGATTATGGCATCCGGAAAATGGCAGTATTTAAGCGCTAGGAAACACGGCCAACAGCATTAACTATCAACATACAAACAAAAACTTCATTTGATACTCATCCTTCAATACTCCTACCAAAAGTACTCCTACCAAGATGGCTCCCATCCACGTTGGCTGCCCGCTCTTCGATTACCAGACGATCGACGTCATTGGACCTTGCGATCTGCTCAATTCCGCGAGTAAGATGCTCCTGGAGGGTATCAATTACTATGCCCCCGTGGATCCGAATCTTCTGGCAAAGGCGCCCGAATTCGTCTTCCACCATATCGGAGAGACCATGGAGCCGGTGCACCTGCTTACAAGCTCTGTAACAGTGGTGCCTACGGTCACGGTGGACGACGTCCCCGAATTGGATATCCTCATCGTCGGAGGGGATATCCCTGCGCAAACCAAGCTTCCTCCGGGGTTGCAGGACCTCATTCGCCGCCATGCTGCCTCTGGAAAGTTACTGTTCACGACCTGCACCGGAGCCGCGGTTGTTGCAGCCACCGGCGCTCTAGACGGCAGGAGGGCCACAGTCAATAACCTCGAGTACAATTGGATTAAGAAGAGATACCCGAATGTCAAGTGGACAAAGGAGAAGAAGTGGATTGTTGACGGCAACGTTTGGACTGGGAGCGGAGCTGTGGCGGGGATGGATATGGTCGCCCACTGGATCAAAGAGACTTATGGGCTGGACCTTCTTATTCAGGCGGCATTGTCGCTTGATTATGAACCACGGGATGTGGACGGACTTTACAATGTTCTGCCCCAGCGATACGATTCGACTGGAAACAAGATTTCCACCCATGTCTTTCCCGACGAGATCTGAGGTCTGGAGCATGCATAACTTGTCAAAACTCTAAAGATGATGAACCTGTCATGCTAGAAAGTGTATCCATCAAAAAAAGATCACCCCAAAGCTTCTCATCTTCTATACTCTGGACTTCCGTAGTAATAGCGCTTTGTAGTCTGGGTAGAACCTGAGCCTGGGCGACGTGACGGCTTGAATACCGCACTGCAGGGCAGCGGTGCAGCCCTTGAACAGACGAGGCTGTGTTATTCGAAGCCTTAAGCTCGTGATGAGCATGGCGGCTATCACGAACCTCGGCGAGATTCTCTTTTGCCAATGCATAGGAAGTTCTTACACTTTCCATGATCTCGGGCAGCCTCGAAAAGAGGCTCCTGGTGGGTATTTGCCTATCCGGCAATGGCTTAATAGCCTGTAGATGAGACAAAATTTTATCAATGTAGTCTTGTAGATCCACGGTTTGCTGTGCAATCTCCACGTTCCACTGGGGTACTTCTGGCAGTCCCACGGACAACCTGTACAGCACAAAGACAGTCAAAAGAACCTGACACCACGCAGAAAATGGCAAGCTATTTTGCTCCGCAGCAGGAAGGGCGAAAAACGAATCGAGATATTCTTTCGTAGAGCTGACGCATTTAATCAAGTTGCTAATGACCAGTGGATGTGCAGATAAGATGGTAGGACCTTCCTGCGCCTTTAGAGACGGAGGTCTTCTCTGTCCGTAGCAATATACCAAGCCCATTTCTTGAATCCGAGTCTTGACGGCATAATAGCCGTTGAACAGCAACACTAGGAATTTTCAGTCAGCTAAATGGGAAGCCCCCATATCTTGAGAAGTTCCTACCCGTGTTGCGAAGATCCGTCGATAGCGACGACCACCATTCTTCTAACCACGTCGTGAATCGTTCAGCATGGATGTACAACCGAGGGCTATGAATGCCTTCTGACCGGTAAGTCTCGCAGACTTCCTCAGTGAACTGTAGCACCTTCGTCATTGGGTATATCAAGAGGTCTGTCTCAAATTCTGGTTGTTGCTGCAGCATCATCGCGCATCGAAGCATGTCCTTGTGAAATTGGAGATTGTTGGGCTTCCCCGAAGACATTGCTATTCTATTGAAGTCAGCTCAAGCCCATTAGCGCTTATCCAGGGGGGCATGGCATCTTACATGTTAGACATGTAATAGCAGCCTAGATAAGCACGGCATGCTTCCCGGATATAAGTATCACTCAGCTCGGTTCGCTGCTCCACCAGGTCGGCAGCCTGTTGATCGAGGCGAAGGTCAATGACCATGCTGATTGCGATTTGTAAGTACTGGTATGCTTGCTGACTTCCTGGAACAAAGTGGAAATGGAACCTGACATTGGTCAGCTTGCTAGTGCCCCTGATGTCGACAAAATAGAAGGCAATGTGGGCACTGAGATCTTACCAGGCAAGGTGGACAAGTAATCCCTGGAGCAGGTCTAGATCCTTCTCGCCAGCCATGACAACCCGGTGGCTGAGGGATTCTTTAAATTGTCCGATCAGAGCATCTTGAAGATGACAGTATTTCGGGGAAGCAACTGCAACAGCGGCAAGCAATAGGAAGGGGCGATCTTCAGCCATTGATGCAGCAGTACAGGCGTATGGAAGCCGCACGAATGGAAAGTAGGACGCCATGCCGCGGAACCTGTTGAGAAGATGCTCGAGGACGACAGGACTGAGTCCCAAGTCGGTGACCCACGCGGCGTCCATGGCAGTGGATGAATCCCACGGATTTTCTAGGTTATTTTCAGTGGTATTCTGGTTTTCACTTGACTCCGGGCCTCCGCCCACTTCAGAATTAGGCAGGTACTCTTGGCTCATCCATTCAGCTGTTCGGTGTGGCCTGTCGCTAAAATGTTCGGGAATTGCAGGCGGTCCAAAATCGGTGTCAAACGGGGGCTCGACTCCACAAAGTGGAGCGCTCGAGCGCGAAAGAAGGCCGATGATATTGGTGAGCTTGGACTCAAGATCGACCAGTCGCCTTCATCCACCCCCCAATCAGCAAAACTGACCTGCTGACTGGAGGCCCTCTAGGGTCACTTACGGTTTCGCTCGTTGTGAAACTCGAGCTCGCTGTCTCGGCTCTGGAAATACGCATTGAGAGTTTGATCTGGCACATCTACTCAAAATTAGCTTAAGATGAAGTATACGGTCAGGGATGTGACGCGCACTTAGTACAAGGCTGTCCCGCTCCGGGTCGAATACATTTCACCTTGAGGACACGGCATTTTTCGCACGCAGGTGTCGCTTTCTTCCGCTGACGAGATGAGTCCATCAGGATTGCGTTATCCATCGTCAGTCACTCATATCTTTCGTGATCTCGATCTTGTAGGCTCGAAAAATGAGGTACTTCTATGGGCTAAGACAGCTTAAGAGCACCACCAAATCATTTGGCTGACAAATCCACCCCCTGCCCCTCATCTGAGTGGTACGACATGAGAGGGAGCATCAATGTTGAAAGCGGGTCCCGCCGCCTCCGAGTCATCTGGCCGTGTGGGATTTCACACTCCTTAAGGGTAAACAGGAATCTGAACTCTGTTCCTGTCTATCACATACTTTATTAGAACTGCCATGATTTGCTATTTAATTCACTCTATTAGCAGCAGATGACGATGCTGGCTTAATACAGACTCTTACAAGACTATCTGAAATCGCTAAACTTGACGCTAGGCGTATACAGAATCTTACTAACCATTTCGGTATCCCATGAGCTGGTAATATGCTCTTCAGTTCCCTTGAGGTATATTTCTGTTAGCACTAGGCTCAGGTGCAGCACTAGGTTCTGATGCAGCTCTAGGCTGCAGTGCGATTGCATTTCCCATAACTACCTCAATAATCATGGGAATAGTAATGGACAGGATGAGGGTTAATTTACCTACTGCTATTCAAGTATACTGTCAGAGTGTTATAGATCACCAAGCAATCTGCGCTCATTATAATTCCATGGTCTTCTAAGAAACTAGCTTTCCATGGCTCCGTGGACTTAGTAGTAATAAATAGCAGGAGATGGCTAATTCAAAAGGGAGGACCTCTCAACTACTCCTACCAGCTATTAGAGTACTTGCTTTTAGTATTTGAGTATGCAATTATGACAGTCGCTTCGCAATATCAAAGATATGGTAGCATTGCAAGAAAATTCTAAGCATGGAGAGAAGAGGAGGTAATTATGTACACAGAGAGGAGATATCTGCTTCGTGAGAGAATGATGCAATCCAATCAAACTACCTGATGCGGCAGGCGGTCTACTGGAATTCGATTGGTTTGGGGATGGCTACTGGCACAAGTTGGACATGATTGAGCAGCTTATAACACAGGAGGAGTACGACTGGATCTGGTGGATTGACTATGACACTCTCATCACCAATACAGACACTAAACTGGAGAATCTGATCGACGACTCGTTAGCAAGTGTTTCCGCCCCAGACAGGATCAATTTCCTCTTAACCCCAGACTGGTATGTTTAGTTGTGTTTTGACCTTCCTATTTGGAATCTGCAGTAGTTTTGACCGGCAGCACTCAAAATAAACAAAAGCGCTGACGTTTCCGACCCGTTCCATTTATAGCTTCAATCTAAACGCTGGCTCCATGCTGCTTCGCTCCTCCTCCAAAGTTATCGAATTCTTGTCTCGAGTCAAGACCTGCCGATACGACCCTCTGCCAGGTCTGAATGATAATCCTTCGGAACAGGACTGTATGCTGCAGTTAATCAAAGAGAATCGGCACGATGAGGAGGAACAGGTGCTATTTATTCCACAGTGGAAAATGAATGCATTTCCAGAAGAGATACTGTGTTATGACCAGGACAACAGAAAGTGGGAGCCAGGGATGTTTGTCGTGCATTTTGCAGGGGCTTGGGCTCATATGCCAAATCGAACGGATGCAAAAGCAGATCTTTTCGAAAAGTACTACTTCTTGATCGATCATGAACGAGATGCCCTGTTGGACCAGAGTCAGGCGCCCTAAAGAGAATGAAAGGAAGATAGAATCCAACGTCCCGAAGTCGCTGAACTATTTAGACTGGTTGACCCAATCCGCACTTCGGGTTTGACGTAGGCTTTGGGTTGGAGCTAGGTAAGCCTGATCCAACCATGTAGATGATCCATTCAAATTTCATTTACCCTGAGCCCTCGCAGACAATGCGATAGGCAGGCTCCTACAAACTATATCCCTGCCACCATTTCTCTATTGTACACGATTCGAATTGTTACGGGCGAATTGCATAGGGCCCGTGTTGGCCATTTACCTTCAGTCTGTTTTTGAAGCTCCTTTGGTTCGCGGCTACGAAACCTTCGAGGTGTTTCTGCGAAATCTAGTACAGTCTTCGCATGGACGGTTTACCCTTTCCTCCTAGCATGGTTGAGATGTCACTGAATGCGTCTCAGACCTATCTGCGTAGTCTTTGCCATGGTATCCTCAGTATCGGGCAGTTGAGTATGATATAGGTGACAGTTTCCTTTGCGCTGTATTCACACTAGTCATCGGCTTAGAATTGGTACAGCTTACTGCAAGGCGCCAGCCAGCAGTGGCCAGCCCGCCACTAGGTAAGTAGGTCGGGCGGTTTACTGGCAATGGGTCGTATAGTCTAGGAAGACGGTTATTGCTGTTGCTTGTGATGTACTAGAATGGACAGCGTGGCCTGCCATAGTTTCTAAAGTATAGCATTGCACGCACACTAAAAGTATTGGTTCAACCTCAAAGAATTGAAGAGTTGAATATACACGCAAAGGGCCTCCGCTCCACAGCATTCTATTAATAAACAGGTTGCACACATTTGATGAGAATAAGGTGAGCGCTCAAGAATAATAGCCTGGACTAGCTGACGCGTATGCTCGAAAGCAACAACATCACTCGTAATATGCCTAATAAGACCCACTCAGATTCCTTCGGCCCACCCAGACACAAGATGGGCGTCTACTTAGTACTTAGCTAATGCTGGCTCACTCCACTCAAGACTGCTTAACCACTGGAATGTCGGCCTCTCATTTGATGTATCTTTGGTCGACATTGTGTATTAATGCTCTTTCTCAAGCCAGCTGGAGAAGTCATACTCAACTGTTGTCCACGTGACTCCGTCCGAGGATCATTCCTATGTTTCAGTCTGCGGCCCCCTAAAACGTCCAGAGTGAGGGATCATACAAACCTTGACAACCCTTCCTTGGTCGGAAAATATTGTTAGGAGGAATATCTGCTTGGCAGGCAAAATGGTTTGGATGAGCCGTAAGTTATATGTATTCATATTGAGCCGTACTTCTTGTTTCATACTAAGTTACTATCATTTTTGAACTTCTATGTAGGTCCCAAAATGTATCAGTAAAAACCTCGCTATAACGAGCCTTGCTATAACAAGAACCTCAATAATACGAGATTTTTTCCTTGTCTGAATTAATTTCCCATATAATGAGATCCCTTGTTGCAACAAGTCTCATTACTTTGGCTTTTGCCACCCATATAAATCTCGTAATATCCAGGGTGTTTTATGTGGGAGAATGATTTAGAGTAGGCCATTAGCCAAGCTATACTAATCCTAAATAGGATCTCAGAATCATGTGTATGTGTTTGCTCGTGTATTTACCAGTCCTTGATATCCCTCATTATAACGAGAAATCTAGCCCGTCTGAATTATCTCGCTATAACAAGGGTTTTACTATATGATTGGGAGATTCCCTTATAGGCATTCTGTTACTTTATTTCTCGGCCCATATCACTAAGCTGTATTAGGTTACTCCAGGAACAGCCCCTGCTAGCTAGGCCGTATCGTGTTTTAGAACATATCTGATTTCAGGGTTGTCGTAAAATACTGTAAACATCTACAGAATGTTCTAGGCAGGTTCTCAAAGTGGTGGGAGAAGATCTGGTAATCTAGCTTGATCCATGCTAGCCTGCCTCTTATTCTTTTTCATCCACAGGCTGTCTTCCTCCACATTCTATCTTTTTTAACTATAAGTGGAATACTTGAACATATTTCCCAGAATGCTAGAATGTAACTCATTTCCTTTTTCTGTATGAACGATAATGTGTTATTTAAGTATGTAGGGCTTTTGATATGCGCAAAATAAGCACTGGCAAACTTTCCGGCAATGGGAATTGAGTGATTTGGGATCTAATTGGCCGCCTACACTAGCCTTTGATGTTATCTCGAGAAACACTAAATTTTGACTTTGTATTACTGCAACCTATATGTCCAACCCCTATCAAATCGATATTGAGAACGAGAGAAATAAAGTGCAGATTAAGAAGAGAAGATAAGTCTAATTCCACTTTCTTAATTTTATATTGATCTATAGCAGCCTTCATTAAGCGAGGTGTGTAAGGAAGGCTTGATTTAGTCCACCTAAGTCACGAACTGTTTACCGAAAAAGCTCTAAAAAGGCAAATCGTTCTGCGGTGGACCGCGGTATACATACTCAAGGTCACGCACCCCGGCCACTTGCATAGGACTCCCAAGTATTTCCTCTAGGGGAGTTAAATCGTTGTCACGCAGTCCAGTTTAGTTTATTTTCACTGAACTCCAATTTAACAAGGAAGATTGTGTTAATACTATCACTGCCGATCCCTCCTTGCAGGTTGCCTAGAATCAGCTTTCGAAGGCTTCCGCCCTCCAGTGAAGAGCTGGAAAGGCTAAACCCTTCCTTACCATCATACATTCCTTTTTTACTATATAATCCCTATACGCCTGGTCATTTCGTCGCTTCTCAGCAGAATCTGTCCGGGTTAACGGTCTGCACTGCCAAGTACTCTGCTTTGCCCAGTCTTCCTTGTGTCTCTGTACCTAATCCGCATCCTTTAGAATGTCACCCTGCCACAATGCATTCCGTCGACGCCACGAATCCTTAATGGAATGCATTACTTATCGGCTTAAGCTCTAACGAGGATCGCGGTGCTGTCGTGGAATGGAGCTTGTGTGCGCGGCACGGGTCCAGGGGTGCATCCCGTGGGATGAATAAGGTTGCAGCTGTGCTCAGTGTCCGCGTTGTGTATATATAGGCTGGGTCTACCTGTGAAAGGCGTTCTAAAAAGTCCGCGAATTTCCGACGCCACGTTCATTTACAATTTTGACCTGCAAGTCCAAGTCTTAGCAAGAATGTCCGCCAATATAGCAGCCTCAATGCTTTTACCACGCACTCAGGCTACGCGCCACAAACAAAACGTCTTTCTCGCCCTCGTCATTTCGACATTCTGTCGCAATGTTTATTCAAACCCACAACACTACCGCACTTCCTGGCCTGCCGCGGTTCAGGGCCGTTGGGCAATGTTACGGGACGAGCGCTTGTCGCAAAGTCACCCACTGACTACCACCACCAAGGACGGTGACGGCGGCGTTCAATGCGGAACGCCGGACGACAGCCAGCCAATGTGGTTCACACAGGGCGGTTGCAGCCTTGCAAGTCAAGACCTCACCTACGCCGACATGAGTGGTAATACCACTGTCATCCGCACGGCCGCAAAGGGGGATCTTATCAAATTGACTTGCGATGACGTGTATTGCCCGATCCCAGCTCGACTCGACTGTTATGAACAGCCGGGTATCTGCTCGTCCGATGAATGGTGCATGATTGACATCCACGAGAGATGGGGCCCGTGGGCCATGGACCGTGATGGATCTACTCCCCAGTGGGAATACTGCTACAATGCCGCCGATTTCGTCGTGAACTCTACTAACGAGGCGTTGATCTCCAGCTACAATGCCGATTGTGTTGCCAGCACCGTTGGCGATTACGGCATCAAACTTGGACCCAAGACGGAAGCCTGGAAACCTATAAGAGGTAGATGCGTCGCATTCCGAAAAGTGGAGGAGAGCTGCATTGGTAACCCACTAGAGTTTGGCCCGTTTGAACCCGAATTTGGTCTGAAGTATGCCCGGGAACAAAATGGTTGGCCGTTCCCTCGCCCGCTCGTTTGCGGTCCCGGGCTTACCTGCACGGGTGCTGACTTTGAGGTCCGCCCATCGACCTGCGTTGTCCAACGGCCCCCCAATACGTGCTTTGCTGGTCCGTGGTGGGATTCCACCCAGTGCCCGAGAACAGAATCTGAAGCTCCAAAAGGCGGCCTAACCATGAATCAGGCGGTGGAAGCTCTTCGCAGGGCTATCTTGTTGTATCCGGGCGAGATAGCCTCTCCTGGAGAGTGCGCCTATTGGAATCGCACTAGTAACATCGGCGTGAGTGTGCTCGCTACACAGCATAGGATCTACAACATAGCCGCTGCCCTGTGGCCGAACCAACTCTTCAATAGAATACCTAGTTTCGATGAAGTTCTGCAACTGATTCCGGATCCCAATCTTTACGGAAGTCCCTCGGACTGCGTCGCTCAAGCTGACGTTCCTGGCTCGGACATAAACAAAGCTCTCGCTAGCGCGGCCACACTTTCCTCGCAACCTAACCAAGTGTGGTCGCTCGTTCACTTTTTGATGCACAACCAACAAGCTCCGCTGAGCCCTAAGCGTGTTGCTGCCTCACGAGCACTCGCCGCTCACCTCTCGGAAAGCTTCTGGTGTGACGACTGTCGGGGCTTCTTCTCAGTTGGCGTTATCGAGGTATACGGACTTCCACCTCTGAGCTCAAATCCTGAAGACCACGCCCGATGGTGGTGGTACGGCCACAATGTCGCTTCAGAACACGTCGCCTCGACCCGTGGTGGCCATCCCTGGATCCATGAATTGGGGGAGCGAGACGTTGCTTCGTTTCAGAATCCCTACTTCATGATCTGGAAAGATGCTGTGGACATGTGGACATACAATAATTCTTAAACCAGTCACTATCAGGGCGATGTCAGATCAGTGTGATATATTTTGGATCTCAATTAATCTCTCATGCAACTCCTAAAACTGTGCTGTCATGGACGTGCCAGACGTGGTGGTCATCATGGGAAGAGGCGTTCGACCCTCAGGATATTACGCTTGCAAAGCCGGTAGCCGCTGCTATCTATAATCCAGATAATTCTCCATCGATTAACATACCATGAATAAGCTTGTGCACTGAGCAGGCTACCCTGGTAAAACTCCCAATATGAACTGTGTATCTTGGCAACTGGTGTTCGAGAAACTATCAAAGGGGATGTGTAATTACCATTAAGCGCCCACGCATAAAAACAAAGCGATTGATTTAGCCATGCAAAATGCGAAATCTCATTCTTTCCGGCCTTACAGTACCAACAAGGAAAAACAAAACATGAAAATAGAAATTGAATCAAATTAAGACAAAATTGGTCCTAATCGGTTGGGCGGTTGGTACAGCAAGCTGATTCTCACTGTGCAAGGCATCCCCAGATATAAATCCGACTGGAGAGTCACTGCGACACCAATCTTTTCAGGGATGGAGGACTGGTCATCACCTCTTCTGAAAGAGTGGCCTCGAAAGAGAAAAGCGTGGCCCAGCCGCTGATATAATGCAGCATTCATCTCTTCACGCGCGATAGAATCCGCTCATTTCCCCCGATTAAAAAAATTTAAGCCACCTATTTAAATAGAGCGAATGCGAGAAACCGCGCTGGATACTAAAATGGGTATGACACATCCAAAACTGCAAGGGAGCTTGAGGCCAAGCAGGAAGTTAATTCACCAGAAGCAAGACTGTTGCAAAGCTGGCTTAATGAAAAAAGCTTCTGAGTATAGCAAGATGTGCGGCGCCGATGTTTGTTTAGGTATACACATAAGAGACACCGGTCATATCTATATATTTTCCGCGGATGCTTCAGGATTTTGGGGATTTGTTAGATTACAGTTAGTATCACTCCCCTGATATGCCTATCTCTTCAATAGCCGATTGCTTAGGGATCCTATTATCCACCCCTAAGTCAGGTCACTGACAAGGACATTCACAAGTCAGGAGAACAAGAGCTATCTTCCACTTAATAGAGGGAGAACTAGAAACAGCCTGGATTCACATAGGGCGCTCTGGGAGACTTTCATCCAACCAGCCAACCAGTAAGAAATGGCCACATTGTCTGCCTGGGGTCATTTGTCTATCTACAAATATTGACAACAAAGACCAGCTTATAATCAGAGACCTAAAGTTAGACAGCAGAGTTGGCCCAATAGTACTCCTCCTAAGTCTATTATAATATAATGAACTCCTATAATTTATCTTATATAGCTTTCTGCCTCCTGTCCTATGTTTGTATGGAAGAGAGACATAACAAATTCCTTAAAAATATCCAGCTTATTAAAATCATTAATGTAGACTAATTTAATCCATCTATATTGCTTAACAGTAAACTCCCTTTCCTTAGGACATGCATAAATAGGATGTCTGCTGCTGTTTCTAGCTAGACCTTAATACTAGTAACCAAATAACAAGCCCCATTCACAAAATAACAGAGTTGGGGAATATTTTAGAGGGATATTCTGGGTATTATTATTATAAGACTGAGGGGCGCTAGAAGAACTACTCAATAGTTTAATTTACTGAATAGGGGCGTCAGGATTGTGTGGTATATTAATAATAGCTAGTTTTATCCCTAGCTTTCTTCTTGGATTTAGCTTTTCCTTTTGATGTCTGGGATCTAGGATGTTAGTTAGCTTTGCTAACCTTAAGGACTGAGGTAATATACCCCTAGTGTTTTTCTGTAGCTTTATTTTCAGCTATCTCTTATAGTAAAGTGCCCTTAGGAAAGGAATAGACTCTACCTTTATACATCCTATAGCCTAACTATTTACTGTGGCTATCTTCCAACTTCGCTGCACTTAGGGGTTATTATCAGTAATATTATAGCTATAATTTGACCTTACTTATTAAGCTGAGCTTGTTCTTCTCTTTAGCAGCTGCTATAGTTTGCATCACATTCACTGATGATGGTTGGAATGTCTTCTGAACATTGGCTGCTGTGGTGATGGTTAGGGGTCACAGGGGGCCAGTGAGAGCAAGGCATGCTTTATTAATATATAATAAGTGGTGAAAGCTAGCTTTATCCAGCTGATTTGTTGAATTAGTGGATGCCTTGCCCTTAGATACTTGGACCTGGCCCTCTCTAACAATACAAACAGCAGTGGTATCCTACCACCGCGGCCACTGAGAACCAACCGTTTGTGTTATTCTATGAAGCTGAAGTGTAATTCAGCCGGGGTATCTGCCTTGGATATGGACCATCTGACGTGTGGGGAACTCTAGAAGCATCAAGGGCCAACCAAGGACTTATGTTGGTCATGCATGTACTTATTATTTTATCAGAGCCACCTGTATGTGCACAAAATTAGAACTGTCAAGGTTCCAGATAACAACCTGCCTAGCGCTGAAGTTGCTTCACATTCAACTGTTCTTCGCGCCTTGTCACGGGCTGGAATATCTCAGTTCTTACTCAGGTGAGGCTATGAAAGAGTCTGGAAGTCGATGAGGCTTCGGTAAAAAGTAAATTCAATTTCAATTCGAAAAGTATACGTGATCCTTCAATTTCCTATGTGGGATCCAACACATATAGGACTTGTACACTCCGGATGTATTCAGAGTTTTCTTTTCTTCTCCTAAAGACGAAGGTACATGTGAGGAGTCCAAAATTAGTGAGATTGACTGAGACTTCGTGCCATACGGAGACGTTGGATGAATTAGTGTGAACCCAAAAAAAAGTCACAAGGCAAAGTCATAATGATGAGGGAAAGGAATTTGCCAATCTTTGCCCCCAAGATCGATTTGACTGACGCAAAAGATACCGTTGGGCTTCACAAAACTCAATAGTGCGAGCTGATTTATAAGTTCCAAATGACTTACTTTCCCTAATCAACAATTCTAATCCTGCTCTATCACAATAGTCATAAACAAGACTACATCCTTTGTCCTAACAGCAATTCATTATCCGCGATAAGAGAACAAGATGCCTCATCATCATCCTCATAATTATATTGAAAATGTCAAGGAGCTTGACGCCCAAGACGCTACCCCCGTCACCGTTGCGGGCGTCGGATACAACAGCTTTTTCTCATCTGCTATGCCGACGGTCATCGACGCAAGCACATCTGGAGGCCAGGGCAGTATCGATGCCAACGTCTATATCTGCACTTCAACACAACAGGTGCTGAACTCACTGAGAATTAATGCTTCCATAGCTGTTAGCAGCCCCTGGGGTTCTTTCAAGGAAAGGCTTGAGTTTGTAAGCTCACTCAAAACCACCACGACCACGGTTGTCATATTAGCTATTGCAACTTCGGTGACGGATTCGTCACGTGTAACTGGAGTTACCTTCTACACCCCTTTTACCAAAGCTGCAGACCTTTACGCACGTGGCGGGGACTCGTATGTTTCGTCCATTGCCAGAGGTGGCCAGTATATGGCTGCTTATAGTTTCCATGCCTATGACGAGGAGACATTCCAATCAGTCGTCAACTCGGCTGGGGCCAACTTTTCGGGCCGAAGCTCTTCATTCTCTGCTTCTTTTGATACAAATATCAGGAATATCGCACAAACGACTAAGGTAACTTCGCAGTTTGATCAACACGGAGTAGGATTCTCGGCCTCGCGGCTTCATACACAAGAAAAAATAGTGGACTTTGTTCTCGACTTTGGTACCATGAAACTGGACGCTCCTGCTCTCATTTCGTTCGCCACTACGTCTTATCGCGCCGTCCAAGACTGCCCAAGTGATTTTGATCAGATTTATCAGTACCTCAATGAGTATATTGACCCAACCAACAGTGGTAATGGCTACTCCGATATCGAATTCATGGCCAAGATGAGCCTGGCTATCGTCAAGGACGTTGCACAGACTTACAACTACTATGGCCTCGGCTCCGTCGACCCGCGGTTTGGCACCGTTCCCTCCGACCTCCACAAGATCGTGGATTCGATCTCGACGTGGAGAAGGGAAGTCGAATCCGGTTAGCACGACAATAAATCCCCCCGCCATTAATACCGCAAACCTGCTACAGCCGACTGCCAACTTTGCCCTCATACCTGGCTCTTTTGTCGCTGGAGGTGACGGCGGGGGGCCATTCCAAGACATTACTCCGCAAATGATACCATGGCGCATCGCTCCCGCGAGCATTACGATCTGGGGCGATCCAAGCAGTTGGCTCACTCGCATCCAGATGACATGGGAAACACAAAATCTCAATCAACCTTCTTTCAGTCATAGTTGGGGACTCGGCCACATAGACATTGGTTGTCCAACTATACAACTTGGGCCTGGCGAGAAGATTACCCAGCTTGGTGCTGCTTATTCCTCGACTCAGTTCTTATGCCGACTCTCAGTCACAACAAGTCAACAGCCTGCTATCATCTACCCCGATGGCAACTCTGGCGGCCGCATACAGACATGGACACCACCCGCCAACTCTTCCTTCGTCGGCTTTTCCGGTCGATGGGGGGCTTATATCGACCAGATCTGCCCCGTCTACGTACAATTCGCCCCCGCGACGTGGACCAACCTCTACCACTCCAGCAAGCTCTTCTCCCCAACCCAACCGACTCACTTCCTCACTCAGCCAACCCATTTCCCCCCGGAGAGCGACCTCGTGCCTAGTTATCCAGACCACCCCTCCGACCCGCACCCCCAACGAAGAAGAAGTCCTCTCGCTCATCGGAAACTGGGCGCAGGCCAACTACAAGACCATACAAAGAGGTCTACCTGCAGCGAGGCGGCTGGGAAGGCTGGATGCAGGTCAACATCGCGGTGCTCCTTAAAGAATTCTACCCCAACGTGACCTTGCAGCGCGAAGAGCACGTCTACACTGGCTCTAATATGCGCGCCGACCTGACCTTCAAGATTGCCGGCGAGCCGACCCAGGTCGTCGAGCTGAAGGTCGAATCGCTCTGGCAAGATGCTAGTGCTGGCGTGAGCGGCTTCCTGGCAGCATACAAGAAGGACATTGATAAGATCTCGAATAATCAGTTGGTGGCGAGCCTCCGGCCGGCGAAGGTGTATGTCATTGGACTCACGTGCAAGGATCAGGTGTTCCAGTATATGCGAAATTTGAGTAATTGGTATCCGTACGCGAACGCGTTTAAGTATACGTGCCTGGTGCCGGGGACGGGAACGGAGGATGCGCTTTATATGTGGTGTGTTGTGAAAAGTCGGAGGGCATGAGTGTGGCGTGGGGGTGAGAGAGCGGGGAGAGTAGAGAGGGGAGGGAATGAGGGGGTTTGATGGTTGATCTGAAGCCAAATGGATGAAATGTGTGTAGAATGAATGACGGCCTAGCCATTTATCGCATCTGGTAAGCTTCCTCACCTAGTAACATAGTCGTGCGCGGAGTCCACAGTTCCCATACTAATTATGGTTGACTGCAATGCCACCAGAGTGCGGGTGTTGACCCAGACCCATGACTCCCTGTATAGACTCTTACAGCCATTGCATTTTATGGCTAACTGCCTTTCAGAGCTCCTCAAAGGTATTGTCCTGGTCCATTATTAGTCAAGGACGAAGGTCTTGTGAGGAACTAGTACCAAATTAAGTTTTCAGACATGTAATAGATGTTTCTTTCTAGACTGCGGGAAATGGTGAGTTCATAACAATAACCACTGTACAGTAACTTGAATGAACTATAATGAAGTTGTTCATTACTTTTTGCCTATAGGGTTCAACTTCTATGGAGAGTTAATTCATTATGCCATAAGTGTATTATCTACAAAACTATAGAATTTAAAACTAAATAATATAGTAGGTACAGCAATATATCGCGTAGTGGGAAAATATATATTTACGTCCGCGGTGTTCCGTTCACGCATGATACCATCATCAGTAGGATCTAGTAGGTCCTCCTCAAGATCATCTTGCTCACTTGGAATAGGCTGTAGGTCCATCAGATCTCAAACCTTGGAGTTCTTCCATTTATACCAGGTAGATTGGTACCGTGCCATGATAGTGGTTTATCAGACCAATAGTAGAATTGACAAGAATGGGGTGTTTTTAAAACATGCCAATTCAGGAATGTAATGTCATAGATACCACATTTTTCATTAACGTAATCCACAAGCGAGCGAGACACCCAACCGAGCGAGACACTCAACCCCTGGAAATCTTACAACCACCACCGAATCATCATCAAATCCAGCCTTTTATCTAATATAGCATCAAAACCAGCAGACTCAAGCATTAAATTAGAAGATCGCACATCTCTTGCAGTCAATGCATATAAAAATGGTTATTTTAAAAGTGTACGAGCAGCAGCAGCAGCATATAATGTCCTATATTCCACTCTAGCCCATTGCATTAATAGTCGAAAGGCACGAAGCAATATACTAGTGAACTATTAGAAGCTTACCAATCTTGAAGAGGCCTCATTAAAGAAGTGGATTCTGGATATAGATAATTACAGCCTACCCCTAACTCAAGATATTGTACGCAAGATGGCAGATTTACTACTATCTGAGTGGAAATCAGGTCCATCTACCAGCATTAGAAAGAACTGGGTCAGCAACTTCATCAAACAGCATGATGATCTTACATTAAAATATACCCGCAAATATGATTATCAGCGTGCAAAATGTAAGGATCCTAAGATTATTAACTAGTAGTTTAATCTTATTCAGAACACTATAGTAAAATATAGTATTCTTGAACAGGATATCTATAACTTTAATGAGACTGGCTTTTAAATGGGTGTAGCTTATACAGCTAAGGTCATTACTGCATCCCGCTATTGAACAAGCTGTGTACGAGCTGTACAGCCAGGGAATTGTGAATGGGTTACTATTATTAAATGTATTAATGCTTTTAGGTGGCCTCTGCCCCCTATGATTATCTTCTCTAGCAAGGTCCATCAGTCTTAATGGTATTAAGATATAAACCCTGACTGGCTGATTGGTGTGAGTAATAATGGATGGACTAATAACAGGCTTAGCTTATCATGGTTAGAAAAAGTCTTTAAGAAGCATACTGTATTGCGTATACTTAGAAAATATTAGCTTCTAATTCTTGATGGCCATGCAAGCCATGAATCTACAGAGTTTAACCTATTCTATAAGAATTATTAAATCATCCCTTTATATATGCCTTTCCATTTATCTGATAAACTATAGCTACTTAATATTGGCTGCTTTGCACCCCTAAAGGAGGCATATGATGCAGAGGTGATATATAGTATTTAAAATAGTATTTATCATATTAATAAAGAGAACTTTCTGGATCTCTATAAGAAAGTATAGAAAGCATTATCACCTTCTAATATTAGCAGTGGATTTAGGGCTTCTGGACTAGTTCCATTAAATCATTAATAGGTATTAGATAGGCTTACTATTAAGTATATCACACTACCCTCTACTGCTTATGGGCCTTTAGATGGAGATAGGGAATGGACAGTAAAGACTCCTTATACTACTACTGAGGTATAAAAGCAGATACAGCTTATTAAATAACTTATTAGTCATAATTCTGAAAGCCCACTGAATGAAGCAGTTCGTTAGCTAGTAAAAGCAGCTGAATCCACCATGTATGAAGTCATTCTATTATAATATTAGATGACTGAGCTCTGCGCAGCAAATAAAAAGTAAAAATAGAAGCATATAGCTCTAAGATCTTTTATTACTACTGGGGGTGCTCTGACAGGATCTAAAGGTCAGCAACTTGCTCAAGAAGCCATACAGGTAATAGACTTAGTGGAATCAGTTCCTAGAAAGCGTGCGCCACTATAATGCAGTAATTACCATTAAATTAGCTATATTAGAACCAGCTGCCCTAGTAGATCCAGATAATTCGAAAATTTATATTGATCTGATTGTGTGGTAGTAAGATATCTACAAGGTATTCAGCATCGCCCAGAATTAGGTTTTGCTGTCTCGCTTGGTTGGGTGTCTCGCTCGCTTGTGGATTACGTTATCGTAATGATTGACCTCTGACCCTTTGTATTACCAGAAGGTTCTTACCATTTTCCAGCTCCTGTACATGTCGAATAGGCCTCTCTAGGGTACGTTTGACGTAATATTCAGGATACAGCGTATGCAGGAGTTATTCTTGACGGAGATTATATGTGTCGGTGACTGGATGAATTTGTTCCAGGCCACGTCTGCGATTCTTGCAGATGTCTTGCGTCCTTACATGTCTTGGTGTTACAGATACAGCTGATCGAGCTCTGTCTTCTACCGTGATATCCTAGCGCCCTTTACAGATGTTTCCCTCCGGCTTCTTATGCTGTCCTCTCTCTCTAGCAGGTTTTCAGCCATAGGATTACTTTGGCCTGATGTGTTCCTGCCTTCCAGATAATTCTCCCTCTCTCGGTCACATTGTGATCTTCCCAACCAGCCTGCCCATAAATTATTGCATCAGTTTAGCAGTGGTACTCAAAAACCGTAAGCGTGGTTGGCGATGGGACTGTGCTATCTTGTCTCTCCATCAATTCCTACCACCAGCCGGTTCTTGCCCGAATCACCATCAAGCAGCAGCCAATGCTTCGACACACCAACCCAATGATAACCATTAGACTGTATAGATCAGTTCCGCTGGCTAGGGAAGAAAAGAACATAGTCAGTTGGCTAGTCACCTACCCGATATCAAATCCAGTGCGGTAAAACGTATACCCTGTCTCCAGTGAAGCCGCGTCCAAGTTGTACAGATACGCGAACGGTGCGACGTGCTCGTTGACAAAGGCCTCCGAGTACCACATCTGAAACAGAAACAGTCAACCCGTGTACTCAATTGTTACAGTTGTAGGTGGATGGATGGAACTCACACCCGGGCTCATATACCAGAGCCATTCGAGACGCCACCCCTTGACCGTTGGCAAACGAGGTTCCGAGCCCCCAAATACCGCAATAACAATGGTCGCCAAGAGACAGACCAAGGGACCATTCTCACGACTAGATACTGCGGCTACAATGGCCCCGATTCCGTAAATGCAGTAGAAGTAGAGGAAGTTGAGGACTAGCAACATATTGAACGAGGCGAATGGGGTTGCTAGGACCGCATAAAATGTCGTGTAATGAAAGGCAGCGATAAAGCTTCGTGGGAAACTCGAGAGAACCTTTCCAACGAAATAGGCGCCCTCTGAATGACCTGAATGCGATTCACGTTTGAAAACGAGTACTAGGGTCTGTCGTTAGCGGGGAGCTGAAGACCAGAGGATGAAGACATTGACACGTACTCTCCTCTCCAAATATACCAACGCTTGGTGCAGCCGCAGCGAAGGCTATCTATATATTAGCGACGGATAATCCAGTTTAGGAAGGAACAGACTTATGGCGAGGCAGCCTAGAAGCCCCAGCTGGGTAACAAGCCTGTAGTTGATAGCGCTGGACAGAACTTCGAATGGGGCCAGAAACATGCCCTGGAATACTTGGCCACGAAGCTCGTACATGGCCAGTCCAATCAACAATCCCGTAAGGATTCCGCCCATGATTTCCGTCACGAACATGGGGACTTGCCTGCTTTGCTGGATGAGGTCACGAACAACGCAGAGGTATACTTGCCTGTGCCAGGAGGCAATCCTTTTCTTGTATCTTGTCTCCAGTTCGTTGAACAACGGTCGCCTGTTACGATAGGGCGACGAGGGTACAGTTTCGAGCGTGTCCCCTGACAGTAACTCTTGACGCTTGGAATCCGTTGCATCGAGGCTCGTTGGCTGGACCTTTCCAGAAATGATATCCATGATCAGATCCGCGGGGTTCAGCCCTGGATTGAATACGTAGCCCTGCGTCTGGAAGTACGGTTTGGCGTCAGACGCTCGGCCAGTGTATACACTTCTCCCCTGATCAAGGAGTAGTAGATTATCTAGCGCGTCAAAGATCTCAACACGGGGCTGATGGATCACGCAGATAACCGTGATCCCCTGACGCGAAAGTGACTTCAGCAAAGCCATGATTGAGAGAGCCGCTTGAGCATCCAGCCCAGACGTCGGTTCATCCAGAATCAAGACTTGTGGTGCAGCAACCAGCTCCAGAGCAATGCTGACTCTCTTGCATTCGCCCCCAGAGATGATACGCCGCTGTTGGGAGCCAACAACGCTGTGTTTGACTTTCCTGAGGCCTAGACCGTCAACCACTTCATGAACATGTTTCTGAATTACTTGGTCATTTAATGCACGGCCCAGTCGGATACGAGCCGAATGAAGGATGTTCTCAAATACGGTGAGGTGCGGGTGCACGATATCATCT